TCCCGTTATATTTCCCATCGTAATCGTATACTGACCCCTCCTTGTAGTCATAGACGCAGCGGCGCACGGACTCTCGTCCGCGATGTTCGTGTAGCACTCGGTAGTCAACTGGACGAGGTCGGCGGTGGATTTGGGGCCGTCCTTGTAGGTTTTCGTCGGGTCGCCAGGCAGGCACGGGTTTCCGTACAAACGGGGCCTTTTGCCAGTCTTTGTCATGATTGCGTTGCACAAGACGCACGGGTCGAAGGCCGCCCCGATGACAAAGATGAGCGCGTCGAATCCCGGGGCGGCGGGAGAGGCGACGACCGCGGTCGTCACAGAGTCCACGTCGATGTCCAGGAGGGGCCGAGACGCGACGGCGATCGCCTCGCCGTCGGGGAGATTCGACGTGCCGTCGAGGATGGTCAGCCCGAAGAAGCCGCTGCCAACCTGCAGCGTCATGTCAGTGAGAAGGGGGGTGATGTCGCTCTCGTCAACGGCGCCCGTGACCGCAATCTCGATGGTCGAAGCCTTGCCGTCTGTGGGCGTGTTGGGCGAGGCAAACAGGTAGAGGTTGTTGCTCTTGTCCTGCACGACGGTCGCCACACGGGGCGTCGAGGTAAACGGGACGCAGGTCACGATGCAGATCACGGTTGTGCTCGACGAGAAGTCGATGTACACGCTGTCCATGTCCGTGCCGGAGGTGAAGGTGACAGTCATGACGAGGCCGGCGGGGTGGGTGTCGCCCGAGCCAGCCATGTCGCCGACGCCGACTTCCTTGTTGTTCGTTTTGATAGTCGCAGTGAGGCCGTTCTCGGCGGCGACGCTCTCGATCACGCCGTTGGCAAAGGCGAGCTCGACGGTTTGCCAGGAGAGGGCGGTGTCCGCGTCGATGAGCACGCCGGACGTACCGATCGTTGCCGTGTCGCTCGAGTACGCAAAGATCTGCATCGTCTGCCCGATCTTGCGCCCAAAGATCGTGCCGTACGTGTCGGTACTCGCGAGCGATCGCCGGGCGCGGGGCGTGGCCAAGAGCGCCCCCGCGGCCTTCTGCTCGCCGCCGCCGCCGCCGCCGCCGCCGCCGCTGCCGCTCAGGCCGGGGGCGGCCACGACCGAGGCGGGGGCGTGCTTCGCGAGGAGGAGCCCGGGCTCGCCCCGCACCGCCGCGGCCGGGCCGAGGAGGAGGAGGAGGGAGAGAAGAAGGGAAGACATCAGAGACATCTCGATTCTCACTGCTCGGCGTGCGCTCATAGGCTCTCCGGCGGCCTCAGGGGCCTTGCCGAGGGCCGCTTCAGCGCGGTCACAGTGCCGTGGAGCCGGCCAGCGTGCTCGCAGCCATGCCGCTGGTGGACCATGCCCGCCTCCCGCCCGGTGGCTCCAACCACAGCCCGCCTCACCGTCGGCGAAGCACCTCGGGCCCTTCGCGGCTGCGTTGTCTGTCCGGCTCCACGGGGCCTTTCCGAGACACTTCCGCGCGGGCCGAGGGACTCATCGACCCCTCACATCCCGGAGGGACGGCGCACGCGCTGCCCAGTGACCGGGCGGGTCGGCCCCGATTAGGAGCGGCCCCAGCCGGGCGGAGAAGACCATCCCACTCGCGGTGCGTCGCACCGGCCGGTCCGGTTTTCGTCTCGAGCGGGTCGCGAGACGGCCGCGAGAGCGAGCACCGCGGTCACAGTGCCGTTGAGGCCACGGACGTCGCCGGAGCGGCACTCCCGGGGCGCCACTCCCTCACCCGGTCGGGGGGGGGGCAACCACAGCCCGCCTCACCGTCCGTGGAGCTTCCGTGGTCCGCTGCTCCGGCTTCGATTTTCGACCCTCCCGAGGCTGCTAGAGCAGCCCCGCGGAGCCTCCCGGATGCACCAGCACACCGTCGTCCAGGACGACGGCGCAAGCGCTGCCCAGTGACCGGGCGGGTCGGCCCCGACTAGGGGCGGGCCCAGCCGCGCGGAGAAGACCACCGAGCTCGAAACACGTCGCCACGGCCGGCCGTTTCGCAAGCCTGAGCGGGTCGCCAGACACCCGCGAGAGCCAGCAGCTAGAGCGCCGTCGTAGCCGCAGATCGAGTCGAGGAGCTTAATGTCCACGGTAGCAGTTGTGGAGAGCGGTGGCGCGGTGCGTGTAGAGGGGTCGATCGAGGGCTCTTTTTCGAAACGCGACGGGTACGGCATGACAACTGCCAGTACAGTTTTACGCCGGCCAGGGTGAGAGCACAACAGGGAGCCGGCGACCCGTACGCTTTACGCGTGGCGGCCGGTGGCTGTCTGGAGCTCGTGCGAGCTGGGCCGACGCGTGGCCGAGCCGAGAGGACCAGCGAGCGACCACGTTGGCGATGAAGCTTGGCGGCCGGCGCCTCGTCGCCAGACGTCACAGCGGCGTGGACGCAGGAGTGTGCGGCGACGAGTACCGGCAAATCCGGCCCGGTGTGGCCGGCAGCTGCATAGCGCTGGCCTGTGACCGGCGCCGCGGTGGCGGAAGAGGCGTCTCGCCGCCGTGGCGGCGGTCGGCAGGTGCGAGCGTGACGGCCATCGTGCGGCAGAGTCCGGGCACAATTTAACAAAACAACTCTCTCACAGCACACAGGCTCGACACAGGTGCGAACTGGCGCGTGCTAGTACTATCACCGGCGAAGAACCACCTTAAATCGCCCATACGGTCTTGTGCGTTGTGGTGCGTGTACCGAACTCCGCGCGACGCGGTTCCATTCCGCATTCGGCCGTCGCTGACAACGTGGCAGTTCCTATCGCTTCGTAAGGTACAAGTGCTTCCAGTGAACAGCGACGCGCTGCGACAGTGAGCTGGACAGTTCTCCTGCCAGACGGCGATCATTGGTCACGTACAAGAACGGCACGTCAGGAGGCTCTGCGCTGTGTAGCTCCTGCGCCCTGGCAACCATGAGGCGGTCGGCCGCGTCGTTGGTGGGATCCGGAGTAGTCTCGTGGAATGCACGCCGGCCGGCTGCTTGACTACAGAAGTCGTTCACATGTCTAAGCACCTTCTGTCCGCCCGAAGGGTACACAGAGCAGCTGAAGAAGCGCACCTCGAAACTCTGCGGCATCTCTGCAATTCGCTGCATGTGCTTTGCCTGGGAAAACTGGTCTGCGTCCACAAGCACAATGACGCGCAATTCGCCCAATGCCGCCTCTGGTGGAACGCTTGCAGCGGAGGTGGCAGTGGCGCCTTCGTGTAGACGACGCTTAATCTCGTCGAGCCGCCGCCGACATTTGCTGACCATATTACACTAGGCGTCGGCGGAGCCCCGCGACCGGCGAGCGAGTCCGGCGACGGGTGACCGGCGCGGGAGTATGCTGGGGTCGCGAGTAAGCAAGGCGACGCTAACCGGTCTTCTGAATATAAAATGAACTATAGCACGGGACGCGGCACAAACGGGGCACAAACGCCAGGCTACAAAGACGGGGAGGCACGTAGTGACGCAGGGGAGTCTAGGCGACGGCGGCGTCCTCCGACGCCGCGGCGAGCCTGAGCTCGGTCGCAATCTCTTCCGCCGCCGCGAGGCGCGAGCTGCAGCGCGACTGACATGCGCTGGGCCTGCAGCGACAGCCACGACCGCGTCGACCAGGTCGCCTCGTCCTCGTGCTGCCGCTTCGAGAGCTTGTTGCGCACCTTGTCCTTCATCTGGTAGAACAGCCGTTTGACCGCGTTGCACCACCCGCCGAAGGTTTCAAACAGGTCTACTGAAGAAAGAATTTAGAAATTCTTGGCACAGGCCCCTCTCACAGCTGAAGAAAGAAAAGAAGGAAGACAGGTCTACTGAGGCGGCGCGACCTCGCTGGCCGCGATTTCTTTTCTCCTTAGGTTTTCGAGGTGGATACAGTTGTATATCCTTTGGCCGCGTTGGGTTCTTTTGAGCTAGCCTTCGATGCGCTCTTGCGCTCCTCGGACCTCGAGCGCAATCCATAAGTAGGAGACGCCCACTGTCGCCATAGATTCTCAGGCGCCTGATCTCTCTCAGCAAAGCGATGGCCTATACCTGGTACGAGTTCAGATGCGCGCCCGGCAGAAGACAGACGCGTGTGATGC